CCATGTTTGACAATGTTAACGCGAGAATGCGCTGAAGCCATTCCATCACACAAGTGGTAGGAAAAAGGTGCTATTGATAGGTCGAGCCTATAACTGACTGATAGTTTGCTTCGTCAACAGAACTGTGTTGACAATGATTGAACTAACATGCGATCAGCACGCTCAACGTCGCCTCTGATTGTTGTAACCAATTTTAACACAGCTTCTGGAGCCTTGAATGAACTATGATGTGCGATGAATAGCACTTTCTCTTTCTCTCTCACTCGTAACATGCTGATGACACAATCGCTTTCCTTTCTAAAGTACAGTTCCCTATGACGGTCCTCCATAGAGTTGGCATCGTTCCCAGCGATGATGTTTAGCCTATGCCAAAAGCCATCCTTCTCGCCAACGCGTAAAGGAAACGTGAAGAAAAGAAGAAAATGCCATATTAATTCGCTGATGAGTGACTGCATTCCTTTGAAAACAAATTATATTCCATTCCAAAGCAAAGCATCAAAGAACATCGATTAGATGAAGTGTGTAGTTATAGATTACAACTGTGTCATAAGCTCAAATGTGGCTAGAAACATGATCCTAGGGGTTGTCTGACCCACTAGAATCGCATATCACCTTCGCTATGTGCGGCGAATTCTGGCGAACGCTCTACGGATGGCACTTACGGATCAGGAAGAAATAGTGCTTCAACTTTGATGAGATTTATCGCGAACCTCTTGAGATTATGCTGACAGATTATGCTGAAGGAGCCTTTCTCACTATGCTATTGAAAAGTGCAAGAAAGCAAATTGAGAAAGCGAACTCCGTTTAGAAAATCCTTTGTTAGATACCGGAAGCGACTTGGAGCTAGGCGTCTCGAGTCTCATATGGTACGCATCTCTTTGGAAACGCCGTACTTGATGGCATTTCACTGTCAGTTATTTTTTATGATATAGCTGATGTTGCATCCACACTCAGTATTCTTGTCGGAAAGAAAATGAGTCTGTGGTCAACCGGTGGGCCACACTACTCTAAGGACTCATTTTCAGTTATTATCAACCGTGGCTACTCCAGCAAATTGGTATCATCAGTCATCAATATGTTCAAACCGCAACGGCTGTGAAGTGAAGCTCATAGAATTGACACCAATGGATAATTTTTCGTTAAATCTCAGGTAGATTTGCAAACAGGAACTCACCTGTATAAAACAGATTGATGTTCTTTCTGAGCATCGTGGCCTCCGGGGCTGCTTTTGATAACTTCGAGGATTTCTAGAAAATTTAAGAAGGTCGTTTCAGAGGAACATATGATTTTGGTAAAAAAGCTTGGTGGAATAAATATGAAAATCCAAGTGAGTAATGACTTTGAGTTCTTTGGCAATAGCGAAGAACGCAAGTGTATCAATGATGACCACTGTAGCACACTGAGCTGCAGGATACAGGAAGGTCAAATAGTAGGAGACGACGTGACCGCAGCCAGGCTTATCGTATCTCCAACTGGACAACTGGACGTCGAAAACGAATTCACATCCATCTGGAAATGTAACGACATGAAGTAGTATAGAGCCATTTCAACACAAGTTCGTGGTGCAAACTCGCTAAGAGCTTGCTCTCAGCGAGTTGAATGTATTCAAGCACAGCAAAGATAATAATCTCGATGACATTACTTCATTATTTTACATCTCTGATCAAGTTAAGGAATCTCGTTCTTACCAAACTTCTGCTGAAGGCACTTTCCACGATCACAAATGAAAGGTGATGGGGATCACATAAATATATGTAGCAAATGGTGATGGTTGGCTCGGCCGATGAACTTTTGGTTCGTTCGGGCTGACACGCGGCAAATCACGCAGATGCTGCGCAGCAATCCGGACGAGGCAATTCTTCGCTGGCTTCTGCAGGAGATTTAACTCGTCGAATCGTGTATAGATCGCGGATAAAATCCGCAAGGTCCTGGGGGTTGTTGAAAACATCAAGTGAGTGAGCCGTTTACGGTGCATGAAACCTGAGCCTGATGGAGGGGGATTCTGGAGTACGATGTTAGTGAATGTTATCCCTTGTACTCCCTTCAGCTTAGTGTTAATGTCGCCTAACATCGGCCCTACTTTGAGTGTTCTTTCTATGGTCACGCCCACGCGACCGCGATCAGCAATCATATATTGCTAGCTTCTGAATAACTACACCTCGGTGAAAAACTCCTAATTTTGTTGTTTTTATTCGCTCTGGTGATAATTGTGACATCTTGATGAAACTACGCTCCCCCCATCTTTTTGTCCAAAAATCGCTTTCACGCGGACACGCGCCTGCTTCGAATGTCCGCTTTTCTAACGCACAGAAACCATCCAGATTTATTCAGCACCATACTGCACACAGCTGTTGAGACGTGTTTGAGTTCTATTAGCAGAACCTCGGCGAAAGGCTTGCCTCGTCTAGATCGCCGCGCATGCCACCGCACAAACTCGCAGCGCGCCAGCCCAGGCGACCCAAAAGTTTCGCATCCGGTTGACTCATCAGTGAAAAGTTCTTCTAGAGGCTTATCTGGGAGACAATGCAGGCCGAGACGAAAGCACAAGTGATGAACAACACTGGCATGCGGTCTGGTTTGGCCTTTACAGTAGCAAGCCTCAAAAATCTATGGTCATTGATTTTTGCCTCGATTGAGGCTACATCTGTACTAGTGGATTCAACAACATCGGCTTTTGAACTGATAGCAGTACTTTTCCCGAAGAAGATTGGAACGTACGCCTTACATCAGGAAAAAACAGAAGATATTCGTGACGATTGTCAAAACCGAGCCGTTCGCAAAGAGTCGTACATTTTTCCTCCATCGACAATTCATGAAAAAATAAACGGATTTATACCTAAGATGTAGATATGCCGTGAACGAGGCAAATCATCCAAGATATCCCCAGCATTCGTTTTGTTCGTCGTGATGAGAAGGTGGTGCTAGAAGGAAGGTAAACAACATTTTCATAGAAGGGCAGCATACGAATACTGTTGGAAACGGATCAACACCCCCCCTCCGTTTAAAAAAAAAAAAAAAAAAAAAAAAAAAAAAAAAAAAAAAAAAAAAAAAAAAAAAAAAAAAAAAAAAAAAAAAAAAAAAAAAAAAAAAAAAAAAAAAAAAAAAAAAAACAAACAAAAAATTTGCAACGTGCAGGGGGGAAGAGCGTAGATAGACTTGGCATATCTCACGGGATAAACTGTGTAATACTCAGAAAGAAGAGCCACAAGCGACTGGTAACCTACTTGTATAACATCGGGGAATATATGGCTAGGAGCCGATTGAAAGCGATTTGTAACTGTGCATAAATAGAACCAAACCAGAAAATAACAACGACGCTCGACCCCAGTTCTCTCACCGAATATGATGATTTCACTGTCTCGGAGACCCTCTAAAACAATCAGCGGTCTATTTAGCGCCTCAAGGTCTGGAGAGTTTTTCAGAAGATATGCCACTCCTCTTTGTAGCGACAGTACAAAATGAACGATCCCCGCGAACGAACTAACCTGTGGTGTCTCCGCCAGTTTCTAGAAGCCTTCTAACCTGCTAGCTAGGAGGCTGCTAAAATCTGGAGGAGCTGCCACAGGGTAGTTTGTTCGCTGGGATCGTTTATTTTGTACTATTTCTCGTGTACCGGGAACCTATGGCTATGCATTAAGTCGCTTTACCGGGTGAGCTACAGAGCTAGGACTTCGAACCAGTTTCAGGTCCTGAAGACGACGAATTGTCGAAACGTTGACCAATAAACGTGTTCCACCATAACAACCTGTATGGCACAGAAGAAACAACACAATACCCGAAATGCCCAGGTTCCAGGAAAACCGAACATGGAATTTCTTGCAACATATTTTTTCAGCAATCTTTTTTTCTAGGAATCACGACGGTAAAATTCACAACCAGACATGGTAGAACATATCTATTAGATGTTGACGTCATTATCAGGGTTAAGCGCACGTAAGGCCTCGAAGGTGGGAGTGATATTTGGGTCGGTGTGAGAGAGTCGTAGGTGCAGGTTGCAGTAGCGACATCCTGATCGACGGAATATGGAAACTGCGACTCTCTCCATGGTGCCGGATGTCGTGCGCAGGAAAATCATCAATGTCAAGCATTTCATGCCCTGTTTAAAGCGAGTGTGTGAGTTGGAATACAGTTTACCTCGTAACTTTGAAAACCTATGAGATCTCGAATTAGAATCTTGACGTGCAATCACTTTTGTACAACATACCAAACTGTCAAAATTATCTTGAAAATGTGTTATGGTATAATATAATATCAAATTAAAAATGTCGCCAGAAGTGGGACAGAGATTAAAAGATCCCCTTCGGAAAATGAATTGATGTAAAACGAAAAAGAGGAGGAGTATTGCAGGTTCTAGCAATCAAAAAGTTCCCTATTCTTCCAGAACTCACAGAATTGCAGCTGGTGCAGACCATAGCGAGAAGATGATGAGAACTGCAGCATCTGCGAACAAATGTGAAGCACAGATGTAGCCGAAGGCATTATGGAAAGATGGGGTGTGATAGATGAGCGCAATGGCGGAGGTGTTCAACACTGTTCCGGTGACACCAATCTGAAATTTAGTTCACGAAATAGTGTTGCTAATCATGATGGAACCATGAAGTTGTAAGTGTTTCGATTTTGGATCTTTTTTCTCCAAGTAATGCTAACAGTTAAAACTGTTTTCATTTTTTCAGATAAATGCAGAGTTATCGCAAAGTTTTGGGCACCCTGCCAATTATAATTGAAGGTTTTTTGACCGTGTTTACATATCGTTAACGCTTTCCAACACTATAAAAATAGAAGAAGAGGAGGAAAAGAGAGAGGAAAAATAGAAGAAATGGAAGAAAACAACTAATGCAAATTGTAGCAGGTTGCTCACGAATTTCGTAGAGATACATAACTTCCGATGAAACTCCAAAAATTGTCCGCATTTCTCCAATGTCATCGCCTGAGTCGAGGATCCTAATCCCTCGACGTCGCCTCTCGTCTGAGTTGACACCGGCCAATGAGTCACTTCCCAACAGAAAGGGTTGAGCTAACCCAGCTTCACATTCACCCCTTCTCTGAATCGATAACAAGTCTTTGGTTCAATATAGCATTTAGTCGCTGTAAACATTCACACTATTTACTATACATATTAACAGCTTGGAAAGAAAGTTCTGGAACATTTTACAGCGCAACTCTGTAATTTATTTTTATCCTTCTTTTGTTCTATGATCCCTAACATACTAACCATCAGAGACAACAGCAGCACCCCGACCTTTGGGCAATCGTTAGACATCAGACTTGTAAAAATTGGCAGTCTTTTGTCAAAAGAACTGCTGCGGTTTAGATGTGACGTCTTTTTGTCGAACTTTCTTTTCTCCGGATGATGAGCGAGCTAGCGCAAATGGAGAAAATCGTGGGGGGTGAAGGGAGGGGGGGGGGAGGGCAGGTTTGTGGAATATGGCGAACGAGCAACCGCGTTCTAGCATAGATCGAGAATCTTCCGACGAGGAATGGTCAGTTAGTCAGTCCGGCCATTTGCAATGAAGTGTAGTCCGATGCACGCGTCTTGCGACGCTGAGCTCAAATCCGTTTTCGGTATCTGCGGAACGATTCTCGGACGGAAGATGGCGCCCTCTACATCCCCTAGACTCTTTCTTCTTTCGCTACACACGAAAAGCTTTTCTTTGATAAATTTGTGAGGGATGTCACATGTGCTCGTTAGCTGTTGACATTTTGTATTTGTATGAGCTTGGGTCTTTGCGTTTTGTTCTGTGTGTCAAAGTACATGAAAAAAACTCAAAATTAGGACGAGAAGGAAGTTCTAGAGTTTGCCTCTTACATTAGTCAAAAGGGGACGCAAATCAAAAAATAATAACAAACTGGGTTCGCATGAGGAACCATAGAAAATGTGAAGTTTTTACCCAAGAATTCGAGCATGTGACTCAATCACATAAATCTAGAGAGCTATATGCTAGACCACTAGGTCAGACAGCATATTTGCTCTTCTGCTCTTCTGCTCTTCTTATGTGACCGCTGGAGATAGGGAAATGTAGAGGGCGCCACAGTGAGAAAGCCACAGTGAGAAGAATCCCTCGTAACTTCTTTCAGAGAATCGTTCCGCAGATACCGAAAACGGATTTGAGCTCAGCGTCGCAAGACGCGTCCAGCACTACACCTCATTACAAATGGCCGGAATGACCAATTGCCATTCTTGTGAGACCGGAGATATGTGAACACACATATGTCGCGCAGCAAATGAACTTGAAGTTGTTTTCCGTAAGGTTTCTTGCAAACGTTCTAGGAAGATAGCGATGGATAGCGCTTCTCAACGTCGATCCTGCAGACAAGACTTCACTCGTAGATGCCGTCACAACTACAAAAACTTGACAACACCGTCATTTTCTAATGAATGTCAGGTCGAGAGAGTGAAAGTCTGGTCTTGCTTCTCCGAGCCGCTGCTGCTTCCGCGTATTCTTAGAGCAGGAGATAGGCTTGCCTTCGCCAGTGGTCACGTGCTGCAGCCAATCATCGTTGTAGGGCAG